GCCCTGACTGGGGATCAAACCAAAACCTAGGTGTTTCCCTTACCGGAAATCCAAGGCACCACTTTTCTCTGTACAGGATGTGTTCCAACCAACTGAGCAAGGGCTATGCATACATGTTGACTTATCAATTACAAGTTCTAGAATTTATCCTAAACATATAGCTATGAATGTGTATAAAAATTTAGCTAGAGGACTGTTTATTCCAATAGTTTTTAGAAGCAAAACACTGGAAATACCTGTGTTTAAATCAAATAATGCAATAAGGCCTTTAAAATTATCTTGAGCCTGGCCGGTATGGCTCAATGGTTGAGCCTTGACCCCTGAACCAAAAGGTAGCTGGTTTGATTCCCAGTCAGGACACATGCCCGGGTTGCGGGCTCAGTCCTCATTAGGGGGCATGCGGGTGACTGCTGATCTATGTTTCTCTCTCATGGGTGTTTCTATCTCTTTATTGCTCTCCCTGCCTTTCTCTCTAAAAACCAATAAAAACATATTAAAATAAAATAAAATTATGTGAAAAGAATTTTTTATAAATTGAATGGAAAATGTTCATATAATACATTGTTCATAAACCCATAATTCAATATAATCTAGTTTTTATTAAGAAAAAATATTGAGGAAAATATTTCTGGAGGATGAGGCCCAGAAATCAGGACTTTAAAAAGATTCCCAGGTGATTCTAATGTGCAGCCAAGGTTGAGAACCACTGGTTTATAGTGATTATCTTTGGGAGGTCAAAATTCAGGTAACTTTTATTTAAAATCAATATTTGTGGCTTATCTTTATCTTATTTTATTTTTTTAAATATATTTTTATTGATTTCAGAGAGGAAGGGAGAGGGAGAGATAGATAGAAACATCAATGACAAGAGAATCACTGATTGACTGCCTCCTGCATGCCCCCCACTGGGGATCAAGCCCGAAAGACAGGTATGTGCCCTTGACTGGAATTGAACCCGGGACCCCTGGTATCTTTATCTTTTTAAGAATCTACAGTAAACATATGATCTTTGTGAAACAATAGCTATTAAAGTAAAAGCAGCTCTTCAGAAGGCAATTAATCAATTAAAAAAATAATAAAACTGAAGGAACAAAGACGGAAAAGATTGGGCTATTTGAAATGTAAAATCTTTTTCCTTTTTTTTAAATAAGGGACAATTACTGCACTGTATGTCAAAATCATTTTTTCTCAAAAGTGATATAAGATTCTTCACGCCACAAAAATGATTTCTCACGGTGAGATTTCTGACGCACTCACTTAGCCTCTTAGGAGAGGAAATAACATTTCATTTTGCTTGGTCTACAGAAGCAAGTACAATGCTGTGGAATTTATGTAAAGGGTAGACTACTTTTGAAGGATCTGTAAACGTCATTTCTCTTATTCATAAAGTCGATTTCACCTTGGTACCCTGTTCAGCACAATGGCTCCAGGAAGGGGTACAGGCCAGATGCCACCTTGTCAAGGCGGACGCTATGAAACCGGGGAGAAGTGCTTGCCAGACCTGAAGAAGCAGAAAGTGTGCCTGTCTCCCTCCAAAGACAGAGATGAGCGAGAAAGGAAATCAGGCAGGAAGACTGGTTTGTTTTGATCCCTTCTCTGGGGCTAAGCCTTCAAGCTACAAAGCGTATTTGATGATTGAGGAAAAGCTGGAAGAAGAGCTTTTGCTCTGCTCCCCGTTAAGACCTCTGAGGACAGAAACGATGACTGCAGGACAATAAAACGAGTGCCATAGCGTGGTTAGGGAGGGACGCCTGATTCATCTCTTTCCTTACTCTCCCCTCCTACTCTCACCCCAGGCAGCCCCCGCCACAATGTGGTCTACAAAGGACCCGGCATTCCCATGGGTCCCTAAGAGATGTCAAGATGCTTGGAATTTGTGGAGGAACAGCTTGCCAGAGGAAGTCTCCGGAGAGATGGTGAAACGGCAAGGCTCTAGGCTATGCTGTGAGTGCCAGAGCACATTCCTTTATTCCTCTGCCATTTCTCAACAGGATTTTGAATGAAGCAGAGCCAGCTTCCAAGAGCGAACCAAAGTACCAGTAGATGTCAAGACAAGTGGGTGTCAAAATAGCCAGGAGAGGTTTTGACAAGTTCCACTAGCCTTGGCCTTTGTCAGGAACCTGGAAGGAGTCTGACTAATTGCACTTTGGTTAAAACAGCACAAACCCAATGCCATGAAGGCCAGCAGAATGATAACGCATCGAGTTAGGGCCCTAAACACCAAATGCCCCAAAGATATTAAAGGTTTTCCCTCTATGCACACACCATCTTGGGAAGGAAGAAATAGTTCACTAGGGAGTTTAATTTAGCATTGATTATTTGCCAGAATGAGACTGACACGAAAATGTCTAGGACATTATTAATTATCAAGTTAATGGTTTTTCATAGCTACCAAAATGGGCAAAATGGGTGAGACCTTATAAAGAAGATTGCATTTATAACAAGAAATAAAAATGCAGCACTTTGTAGGTCTGAGTATTGATCGAGTAATTTGGTTTTAGTTAATTAATTTTAGTTTTAGATAATTAGTTTTAGTTTTGCCAAAAAAAAAAAAAAATGATTCCACCAAGGTTCATGGATATTTGCTAAATAAAGAGTAAGTGATTATAAAACAAAGTTATTGAGACACTGAAATGTTACTGTGAGTTTTCTGGGAAAGCTATGAGTATTTTCTGTCAATCCCTTGGTCTTTCTTTTACTGATAAAAACAATGCAAATAGAATGCTTAAAATATCGTACTATATTTTTTCTTGCAAATCTTGATTAAATCTTCTCTCAGTATAGCAAGTTGGAGTGATTTGTATTCAGTGGTGTAGTATAAAGAGATTTTAGGTAAGATATAAGAGTTGCAACTCTCCACCCTTTTCCCCCTTTATGCATTCCTGTTTTATTTTCTCACTTGAAACATCTAATTGAAAAATAGTGTAAGACATTATACTTGTTCAAAGATCTCTTAGCAATCTCTCTTAACAATATGGAATATAGATTTCTTGCCAGGAGTGCTTATATAATGGTCTGAGATTTTTATTTTTACATATGTATCACTGAAAATTCTCATATAGAAGGAAGATCGGAGGCAAATTTTACTTTTATTTCATATATAGAAAAAAGATAACAAAAGAGTGTGGATTTTAAGTAGTGTTTCCTTTAAACTTTATTCTGTGATAGACTTAGAAATGAAAGTAAAGAATGTAAGGTTTGTACAAAGGGTCATAGATTCTATCTTTAAAACCAAGCTTTGACCTTTGTCTTTATGAATCTTATTTGATAATGATAGTAATATTGAGCTATTTTACTTCCTTAGATTATACATTTTGGAGTGTTAAACAGTTTACTAGGTCATGCTAGTTATTGCAAAGAATTGGATAATTACAGGATATTCCTCCCAAACTTACCTGCTTCTGGGACAAAGTTATCCTTCAAGATAGTTAGCATATTAGAAAATGTCAATATACATTATTTTTTAAGTGTAGCTATCTTGCTCAGTGTTTTGGGGGATAATGTGTGTTATGATTAATTAGGTGTATTCAGGGAACGAGGAAGGTGTTAAAATAAACATTAAGTTAGAAAATCTTGAGCCTTTGAGATGGTGGAAATTACTTGAGACTATCTACAAATTATTTGATACCTCTTTTTAAAGATCAACATTTTATGATGATATATAATTCGGTTTGAATACATGAAGTTGGAATCTTTTTTTCTTAGTTATGAATCTTGCTCATATTAGAAAGATGTTTTTTGAACATTGCAGACTTTTGGCTCTTTGCCAAAGTGAACATTTTTGGAATAATATTAAATATATCTGGCTAGACTTGAATAACACCACCACCACCACCACCACCACCACCACACACACACACACACACACACACAGAGAATGGAGCAAGGATGCCCATTCTCTTGCCATTCTGAAATATCCGAAATAAGTGACTAAGCCTCAGATATTTATTAAGACCTAGAAAAAGTCAGTCTCCATAGATAAGTTTTACAATTTTTGAGAACAGTTGTTCGTACACTTTACTGTGATTTTTAAAAGCTGTTGTAAAAGGATATGCCATGAGTAACAGCTGAATTTGGGGGGTTCGGGAAGAGGAACAGACTGAAGTTCCTTGAGCTAGTCATACCTATTCCGTAAAACCCACGGACCCGGGAGAGGGAATGCTTATTTCTCTTTCCGCAGTCATTCAGCTCACTCTCTCAACAGAGATTTATTTATTGACTACCTTCTGTGCCTGGCAGCACTGCCATGGTGTCTGCTCTCATGGAGATTTTAACTGAGTGGCGCGATTTGCTAATAGTCATCCAATACTCGGACCTGGCTGTAAGCTGTGAAAGGGTGCAGAGTGTTTGGGAGCTGCGGTGGGTGTGCAACCCTGCCCAGGGCCAAGGGACTCGGAGGAGCATCAGTCATTGATCACAAACAGAGGGAAAAGCCGTGTTCATGTGCCATTGGGAGGGGCCCCGAGAACCTGTGATCTGAGAAACCCGGCAAAGTCTTGGGAACACAGAGTTGGGCAAGATGAGGCTGGAGAAAGGCGGGGGAGACACGCAAGGTTTACAGGATGGGCTCATCATTTCTATTCTTTCCTAAGGCAGGGTCTACAAGTAGGTGATCTCTGGCTGTAGGAGGAGCAGACACGTTTCCGTGTTTCTGCCTGCGCGTTCTGGCCAGCAGGGATTTTTATTTATTTATTTTTAATAATTTATTTTGGGGGGACTACTTTCTCGGGTTAGTCGGAGACTGCCTTTCCCTGTTGGACTCACATACGTGCTCTTCTTTGACCCCCGAGGAAAGGGTGTTTGCACCCCTTTTCAAGGATTATTAGATTTTGTACTAAAAACAGCCGCAGAGACCAGGGAGAAAGCGCTGCGCAATCAGTGCGAGACCTGTGGAGGCGGAGTCTGCGCAGTGAGGCCGGGGGAGGGGAGGAGCGCTGCACCGGGACCCAGTGCGCATGACCGCCCCGCGTTGCCAAGGCAGCGAAAAGGCGTCACCCGCCGCCCGGAAGAGGAGCCGGGCTGAGCTGCGGAGTCCCACAGCGTCCTGTGCTCCCTGGCTCAGGCCTGACCAGTTCCTGAGCCAATCTTGACCAAAGCAAAGCAGATGAGGAGCCGAGTTTGATGCCGTGTGATGGCCAGCCGCCTAGAAGCTGGGGAACCCGAGGAGCCACGTGAATTGGCCCAAACGGACAGCAGGGCCATGGACGACCTTTCTCAGGAGACCTTCGAGTCCTTCTCTGATGAGGTACAGACTTCATGTTCATTCAGTTCCCCTGGAGGACAGCTGCCCTCGCCTCAGGTGTCCGGGGGCAAACCTGAGAGTGGAGAGCCCACTGCACGCTTGGAATGTCAAGATAAACAATCTGAGCTTTCAGAAAAGAGGTTTAGTCAGAAAAGAATCAACTACCTCAAGGGGAAAGGAACTAACTCTGGAGGGTACCAACCAGACACTCACCCTAAAACAGAAATCACTCCGGTGTCTGATGAACAAATGCATGCCCTGCAGACTTTTTGCACCGTTAAGGTAAACCTGATGCATCACAGAGCAACCTCTAAAGGGATGAAGAGCAGCAGACATAAGAAGCTGCAGCTTAGATCGGATGCAGAGGCTTCAGAGATGGATGCCATCAACTGTACTGCCCCCGACGAGCTTGTGAACAGAATCCATTTAAAAAACGTGATGGCAACACTAAAACAGGCGGCAACAGTTAGGCAACACGTTCCTTCTAGGTGCCCTGATTGTAACAGAAAAAGAGCGGAACTGGCTCAATCTGCCTTCCTGAAACGAAAGAAGACTTTACTGGAGTCACTTCTCCTCCAAGAGAAAATAGATGAACATCTTCATACTAAAGACTTTCTTACCTTTATTGGAGAAGCGCATCGGGGCCTTCCCAGGCTTTCAGATGACCCTGGAATAATCTGGAAAAAGCTGAATGAGAAAAGCCAGAAGAAAGAGTCTGGTTTTGAAAGGTCAGATCCAGAGCAGAAGATGTAGCGGAATGGAAATAGCGCTTGTCATTCACTGTTTGCTCTACCACCTCTCAAACCACTGACTCCAACCAAACAGGAGATGCTGCTTATTGATGATAATGTGTAACGTAGATAGATGTTTTTGTTGTGTATTTGAATAATGGTCATCATTTCTACAAGCACTTTGGAACCTAACTTAAAAATGTACTATGCTTCCTTCACAGATTTGAGGACTAAGAACTTTTGATTTGGTGTGTTTTTCAGATTATAGAGGGCAACATGGTAGTTGGAATCGTTACAAAGTTTTTACAACAATCCTGGGGAGAGATGCTGGTAGTTTTCGACTAGGGTTTTGACAGCACAGATAGAAGTACAGAAATGTAAGAGATACTTAAGGAAGTAATAATTGACAGTCTTGGTGAAGAAATGGGTGTGGGGATCGAATGAAAGGTAAATGCTAAAAGTGTTACTGAGTTTCTGACTTGTGTACTGAATGAATAATAATTTCATTAAATTGTATATAGAAACATTAGAAGAGGATCATGTTTGATAGAAGTGATTAGCAGCGTGATTATTTGGACATGACTGGTTTGAGATATATTTGAGACATCCACTTTGAGAGGGTGAGAAACATTGGGTTGTTTGTGTTTGCAGTCTGGAGAAAAGGTTTGGCCTGTATATTTGAAATAAAGGGAAGGGGCCACAGATCATTGCATGTAGCTGGAAATTGAAGTCATAGATGTAAGTTCTTTGGGAAGAGGATAGGGTGAGAAGTGGATAAGAGGTATAACTAACTCCTGAGAAATTCAGCAATTAAAGGCTGAATAGAGGAGAATAAGCCACCAAAGGTTTAGAAGATATTATCATAAAAGGATGAAAGAAACCAGGATTGTGTAGTGTCACAGAGAGCAAAGAGAGAAAAATATCAAGAAGGATGGGTTTTCTAAGCATGCAAATGCAACAGAGAATTCATGTAAGATATTTAGTCATGTCCTTAGGCGCTGTTGATCTTAGCAACAGCCATTTCACTTACAGGAATTGGCTAGACAGGCAAAGTAAGTTGAGGAATAAATGTGAGGACATGAAAAATATGAATATAGACTACTTCTTGAAGTTCAGTTGTGGAGGAAAAGAGAGGGGGAAGGTGGAGGTATATGTATAATTGAGGGAAGAATGCTTGAATAAATTACCTGAAAAGCCATTTTTGGGGCCTTATTTTATGAAACTTCTCTTACTCATTCTAATTTCCATTGTGATGAAACAATATCATCCCTGAAAATACCATGGCATTTTGAAAATACATTTATTGAAAAAAGTGTTAGTTGGCATTCTGAGAAATTCATTTTCTATAAAAATACAAATCCTATAATTTGTCACAATACCTAGAGGCTATTTCTCCTCATGCCTAACAACTAAGCTATCCCAGTCGAAAAGAAATTTGTGAAAATCAGTTATAATAGTCTTTATAACATTCCAATACTATTTGATTTTAGATTTTCATTTATGTATAAAAATACTTTCTCCTACAAAAGTTAGCATGTTCCCTCATATGAAGTCAGTCAAGTAAAATGGAAATCAAATAATTACCATTTGCATAGTAACTATTTATTTGAACTACACATTATGTCATGCTTTATCTTTGGCATCTCACATAATAAAAATTCTGAATAATTGCCATTTAGAATTCCCCCATTAAAGGTCACAATGTACTCATTTAGTCAACTAAGCTAGAAGTCATAGTCATCTTTTGTTCCTCCTTTTTAAAAACTAAACCCCAAGTTAACTATTCTTTTGGCAAAGACCATTAGCTCTTTCTTCTTCAATAGTTTCTGACCATGACTTCTTATTTTCATCTCATGACCACCTCCACTCCTAGTTTCTCTCTTCAGTGCATTCTCCATATAGTTGTCAGAATTATTTTTCTAATATACAAATCTGTTCAATTTTCCTGATTAAAAAAACTCACTAAATGATTAATCAGTACAATAGGAATAGTTTAAATTTATTAAGACCACAAAGAGGTTCTTTAATATCTGGCCCAAATTTACCTACATGACCTCATCTTCTATTCTCCACCTCTATATTAAAACTCTCTATAAAACTTGCAATTCCCTGAGCTCCTTGTAGTTTACAAGTACACATTCGTTTTGTTAAAATTCTCTTAATTGCCTTTTCCAGCAGGTGGACTCTTCTTTTTCCCCTTCTCATATTCAATTATCCCCTCTCTTACTGCTCCCCATTCTCTTCCTTATTTAGTTTTAAATTTTACTATAAAATGAATAATATATTTACACTAAAGGCCTGATGCATGAAATTCGTGCAAGAGGCTTGACCCTTGCAGCCCCAGCTTTGTCCGGAAGGTCGTCTGGCTGTTTGATCTAATTAGCACATTATGCTTTTATTATTATAGACTAGAGGCTCAGTGCACAAAAATTCGTGCACTGGGGGGCATCCCTCAGCCCAGCCTGCCCCCTCTAACAGTCTGGGAGCCCTCACAGGATGTCCTACTGATGTCCCTGTGGGGCCGAAGCCACAGTCTGGCCTCCCTCTGTGGAAGGCAACTGGCTGATCAGGTATATAGATACTTTCTGAAGGCAGCACAGACTCCTTCCTTATTTCTTTCCTCTGTGATTGGAGAATAGGGGACTAAAAGGTGGAGACAGAACTGTGGCTGGGCCTAGGGCTCTTGTAGGCAGCAGAAAGAAGGAGAGGGCTGGGGAAAGTCTAGACACGGTTTTCTTCAATTGTCCTCCCTTCCTCCGGGCCCCTCGCTCTGTTATTTCCTTGTCTTGGTGGACGCTTGGGCCTCGGACTGACAGGAGCCCAGCGACAGTGGAGTTCAGCCCCCTCACTTCTCAGCTGAACATACAACCTCATCACATTCCAAGTGGAGCTGTTTTCAAGTGGCTATAGTGCTGGCAATTCTTGCCTCCCAGCCTTTCCCCTCTCAGGTTTCCTCCTTGGGTCAGTTGCAAACTTCATGGAGACACCGAAGCAACGCTGCCCTGGCAGTTCTGCACTGGCCCCTGCCCGCCCCAACCAGGCACTCTTCCTTGAGGTCTCTGGGTCCATAGTCTGAGCTTAGGGAGGTTACCCAGAGCCCATTTCCCCGGACAGGTGGGGCAGGGGAGCTACTTGAAGAGCTGGAGGAAGATGGCAGAGTAAGAGTTGGTATGAACCAGCGCCTGCTTAGCCACACTTCCTAAGCTCTCCACTTGGCCCAGGCTGGGCCCCTTCCCCACACCAGGAGGATCCCAGCTGAGGTTCCCTCCCTGCACCCAGCGCTCTCCTCCCTGTTCTACCACTGGGGGAAGGGAGCAGCTCACCTGCTCTGGACCCTGCCAACCTGGCAGGCTGAGGCACAGGTGGTGCAGCCTAGGGTGCTGGTGGCTGCGAGCCTTCTCCCCCTCCCTGAAGCATGGGGTAGGGTTGCAGCAGCTCACAGCCACCCCTGGGCACCATGCATGGAGACACTGCTCTCCACTGAGCCACCATCCGCCTGGGACCTGTGGGGGTTGGGGTGGCCTCGGGCTCCCACTGGTCCCACTGAAGCCAGACTCGGCTTGGCCGGCCACCCCCACTGCCCAAGGGCTGTGCGTGCCCCATGGGCCTCATCGCCCTCATGAATCGCCGTGGTCTGGCCGTCTCATCCCAGGAAGTGGCCATCCTGATCACCATGGCTCACTCCCCAGTGCAGTTGGGTCTGCCCAGCAAGCATGTAGGCAGGAGCTGGGCCTCTGAGGGGAAGGAGGAGGCATGTGTAGGCCAGGGCAGAAGTGGGGAACTTGGCGGTGTAAACACAGCCCCCCCCCTCCCCCCAACATCGTGCCGGCCCCTCGCGCTGCATTCTCGAACCCATGGATGCCCCTGCCCAGCACTGTGCTCTCAGGCCTGGGATGGGGGTGAGGGACCTGGAGCTTCCGCCTGAAGGCAGCCCTCGCTGGCTTGGAATCACAGTGGTCAATCAGGGTGGGATGCGGGATGCCAAATTCTGCCGCTCTCTCTAAATCTCTCTCTCTCTCTCTCTCTCTCTCTCTCTCTCTCTCTCTCTCTCTCTCTCTCGGAGTGGGCCCCGCCTGTTTCTGGTGGGCAGGTGAGGGCTCGGGCGAGGCAATTGGTACCATTTGCCTTTGCCCCAGCCCCCTCCCGCCCCCGGGTAGCACACGGGGGCCTGGATGGCGGCTTGCGCTGTCCTACCCTGCCTGCAGCATGCAAATTAGCTGCCATCTTTGTTGACGGTTAACCGCCACCTTAGTTGGCAGTTAATTTGCATATCGCCCTGATTAGCCAATGGGAAGTGTAGCAAAGGTATGGTCAATTACCATGTTTGTCTATTATTAGATTAGATGGCTCAAAAGTCAAAAGGATATTAAAGATTTAGTATGCGAAGTTGCCCTTCCACTCTGTTATCATCCCACTTCATTCTAAGCTAGCTTGCCATACCCCTACTTTTCCAGGTTAACACTTCACTTGCTAGATCTTGGGGGAGTCTGGTATCCTGGGATAAAAGCAGAGGTAGAGAAAATTCAGGGAATTGAGGAGTGGCCACTTATCACCAGGACAGGGAATTTTTGTATTATAACTAGTTCAAACTTATTAGTGTATATGGCTGACTATTGATGTTACTTATAAGAAACCACTTATATTAGTTTCTTATATGTTTTCCAGTGTTTCTTTATGCAAATACAAACACTAAAAATAATTCACTATGTGCTTTCTTTGGTACCTTTTTTTTCCTTGTGATAAAAAGGGTATAATATAAAGTTTGCCATTTTTACTATTGCTAATTGTACTATTTAGTGGCACTAATTGCATTTACAGCATTGTGCAACTGTTACTATTTCCCAAATTTTTCATTTCCCCAAAGAGAAACTCAATTCATTAAGCAATAACTCCCCATTTGCCCCTCCTTCCCCAGGCCCTAGTAACCTCAAATGTACTTTTTGTCTCTATTTTAGTACAGTGCCTCATACAAAACTTTCATGTATGAAAAAATAATTGCATCTAAACTATGAGATTTAATGTCTTTTGCACCAAAAGAAGAAAATAGTTTGCTAGCATATTGTTTTTTTGTTTTGTTTTTTGTCAATGTTTTGCCTTTGTGTAGTTGTTTTCTGTAAATTTTCTCTCTCACCATGGTTTGGATTTACTTTTGCATGTATACACATAATTTTTCTTAGTAGAAATTAGTGAAAACTTTAAAAAATATATTTTTATTGATTTCAGAGTGCAAGGAAGAGTGAGAGAGAGAGAGAGACATCAATGATGAGAATCATTATTGGCTGCCTCCTGCATGCCCCCTACTGGGGATTGGGCCTCAACCTGGGCATGTGCCCTGACCAGGAATGGAATGGTGACCTTCTGGTTCGTAGGTCAATGCTCAACTACTGAGCCATGCTGGCTGGGCAGTGAAAAACTTTTTGATAAGACATCTTTCCAGGAAGTATGCAGCCAATCACTACAGTATTCATTTAAAAGAATGAATATGAAAATAGTTCTCTGGAATCCACATTTTTAGATGGAAATTTTTTATCTCAATTGTTAATTTTAAAGATAATTTATGACTTTTTGCAGTTTTTAAATGGTGTAAAAATCCTTGATGCTTGAAAATAATTTTTATTGCCTCTGAATAAATTTGAAAGGAATGAATATTCTTTCTCCCAAATTTTTATAGTTGCACCCAAGGGATTCCAGTGCAGCTGGGAAGGAAAGCCCATCAGATCAGATGCTAAGAAACCACATATTTCTCCAATGCACTAGAAATGTATGTGGCAATTTGGTACCAAATTATGCAAATATTTAATTTACATAATTGTAATATATGAATTACATAAAATGCATCTATTTAGTTTACGTTTAGTCATCTAGATTTTCTTAAACCAACAAACAAAATTAAATTCTGCACCAAAAACCAAATCTATGCATTTAACAAACACAAGAATAATGAAATCCTTGAAAAGAAGTAAGTGATATGCCAGATTGAGAGAAAAGAAAGTTCAGCCCTGAACATCTGAGTCATTCGAATTCCGATCTCAGAACTGTTTAGGAATGTTTGGGACACCCAGCTCAGAATACCTCCAGTTTTAAACATGTTAGTTTAATTCATGATGAAGCCTAATATAGTAATTTAGCTGTTTCTGTAGCAACGTAGCTAAACAGGTTGCAAAGAAATAGGAATTGTGGCTCTACTTGGGCATGTGCTCTCCCTCATTTTTTTTTTCTGGAATTGACAGATGAAAAATACATTCACAAGTAGTTAATTTGAGAAACAGAATAGGAAAAGGCAGCCTAACAACTGTTCTTAGTTGATAATCCCTTTTGCAATAGAGAATTCAGAAAATTTCCAATTTGCAGTAGACTCAAATTACAGTGAAAATTGCAAAATTCTCTGAGGGTGGCTTAAATAATCCTAAAGCCAAGCTTTGATGATCTCACTGTTTGTTGAGATCTGAATTGAGGTTTAGGAGAAAATAGGTTTGGGTCATCACACCCAAAATTTGCTTTGGATGTCAAGACTGACGACCCACTGAATGTCTGAGCGGGTGTGAACAAGTTTATCAGTCA